CCATTTCTTTCCTAAAGAAAACGAAACGACTAAATTATGGTTTCACAAGTAAAGGAATAGCCACGGATGAGAAAGAAAGGGGATAAAGCTTACCCTTGTAGAAGTCTGCAAGTATGTTAAGTAATATTATGACCTTTATCAGATTGTATAGATTGTATAGCTTCTGCTGCATTATGTACCACAAATGAATAAGGTGAGCCTAGAGGACAAAGCGTGCTTTTCTATATTAAAAATCTTTTTTGGAAAACGTAATCCTTGCGATTCCCTAGAGCCTTTTCAAGCATTTGACAGGTAATCTGGAGTTTTGTTTTGTTTTGGGATGAGTTCATTTTTCTTCCTGAAGGCAGTAATTCAAAAATATTTTGTTTGGAGATCAGCTAACTTTAACCTTTAACTAAATGTTTGATCTTCTTATCTATGTATAGTGGTGGGATTCAAGTAATTTTACAACCGATTCTCTGCCCTAATGAATCTTCCAACAACCAATTTGCCAAACTGTTCAGAAAGTTAACAACCGCTTCTCCTGAAGTGGTCTGAACTGGCTGAATCCCACCACTGTCTAGATATAATGTATATTTGCTGTATTTCTATATATCTATATATAATGTAAGGTAAGGTAATTATTTACAAACAATTGCTAAATCTAGCAAAGAGGCTGGGACTCAGGACACAATTATGGCAGGCTGGAAAACATGAACCAGTGAAACAAGCTAGTCACACACAGACCTCACTATCATAGCATTAGGCCAGCTTTTTCCCATTCTCACTAACAGATTATTGTTCTGCACATTAACGTGTTACAGTTCCTCTTTTATTCTTATTTCTGTTCATTTTCTGTAGTGAAGTCTCAGCTGAATAAAAGATAAATAGTTAATAAAGAATAGTTGGATCAAGCAAATTATGACAGCTATTGACCAATTTAAGTCAGTTTGAAAGATGTTTCCAATTTTGCTAGTTTTTCTAGTTATGTCTTTCCCTTATATCTTATAGAGTCATTTGTCAATCTATGCCTAAAGGTGCCTATTGCTCTAGAATTAATTTTCAGAGAACAGAATTAGAGGACTTCTACTAATGGGAATTCTCTGCTCTTTTGTTTGTAGGATATAAAATCTAATCATGGTCAATCATTTATTAACCCCAAGTAATAAATTCATTCTGAATTTAGATATAAGTTTTTGGAATGGAAAGAGCTATGCTAGCAGAGCTAGATTTAGGCGTAAACCAAGCAAGCTACAGTTTAGTATTTCTCAGATCTTTTACAGGTAGTCCTTGACTTACAACAGTTCATTTAGTGACCATTCAAAGTTACTACAGTACTGGAAAAAATAACAGTTTTTCACAGTTATGATCTTTATAGAATCCCCATGATCATGTGATCAAGATTTAGATATTTGGCAATTGGTTCATAGCTATGACTGTAGCTGTGTCCCAAGGTCATGTGATACCAATAGCACTTAGACTTATAAGTCAGAGAGGGCCTCCTCAGGGTGCCATCGGCCAGACAATGTCAGCTGGCGACTCCCAGGGGGAGAGCCTTCTCTGTGGCGGCACCTGCCCTCTGGAACGACCTACCCCCAGAGATACGCATGATACCAGACCTCCGGACTTTTCGTCGGGCCCTGAAAACACATCTATTTCATCTAGCCGGGCTGGCTTGATCCCATTCTTGCGGTTTTAATTTGTAATTGGTTTTAATTGGGTTATTTTAAATTGATGGCCAAAATTATTTACTGTTTTTTAAACTGCTTTTAAATTTTATATGTTGTGTTTTACTGTGGCTGTTCACCGCCCTGAGTCCTGTTGGAGAAGGGCGGTATACAAATTAAATAAATAATAATAATAATAATAATAATAATAATAATAATAATAATAATAATAATAATAATATACTGCTTTACAGTGCTTTACAGCCCTCTTTAAGCAGTTTTATAAAGTCAGCATATTGCCCCCAACAATTTGGGTCCTCGTTTTACCCACCTCGGAAAGATGGAAGGTTGAGTCAACCTTGAGCCTGGTGGGATTTCAACTGCCAAATTGCAGGCAGCCGGCAGTTAGCAGAAGTAGCCTATAGTACTGCAGTCTAACCACTGTGCCACCTTTTGCAACCTTCTGACAAGCAAAGTCAATGGGGAAATCATATTCACTTAACAACCAGGTTACTAACTTACCAACTGCAGTGATTCACTTAACAACTGTGGCAAGGAAGGTCATAAAATGAGGCAAAACTCACTTAACAAATATCTCACTTAACAACAAAAAATTTGGGCTCAATTGTGATCATAAATTGAGGATTAACTATATTTCATTACATGGATGGTTTCTCAGATCTTTTATTTCATTACATGGATATTAGAATATCTTAAGAAAAATAATTTCCAAGTGATGATGTAAAGATAAGATTGTTAATGGGTCTTGGTTTGTTAGTTCTTCCTTTTTGATAGATTTATCAATAGGATAGCTTCTCTGTATGTCATCTACCATTTCAACTGTGCTCCAGTATTTCCTAAAGTTAATAAATAGTTTATCAGAATGTTCCTTTAATATCCTAGCATGCAATTCATCATACCTTGGTGACCTGAATTTAGTCAAAATTAATACATTTTTGCCAGAGCTGCTGCAGTCATACAAAATACCTTATGCAGAATTCTATTTGGCATCCCCTACTTTTTAAAAACAACAACAACAAAATAGTGTATGTCCTTTTTCTTGAACAGACTTTTTCTATGTGCTGCATAGAGAGAACCATGCAATGCAGGTTTTCAATTTTTTTTGTTAAACTTACAACTGGCATCCCCATCCCCATGATGTTCCTTAGGCAGCACAGAATTTGCACACTACTTTGCAGAGAGGCTAGCATCTCCCTGTCCACTTCGGTCTGCAATTCTACCTTTTTCACAATTGCCTCTTGGTATATTTACATTCTTGTTGAACAAGACCTTGCAAAATTGAAAGATGAATTGTTTTATCTGTTGGAAAGTTTGGATTCTTTTCTCCAAGAAACAGTATTAAGACGTTTGTTTGAAATTATATTTGTAAAGTTTAAAATATTTTTGAACTTCTACACATATCATATTTAAAAATTTTAAATAAGGATTTATTCCAGTCAAATTTCTATGTTAATTTGAAAAAACTATTTCTGAATAAAGAACATTCTGATAACAACCATTATTTTTTTTAAAAAATATACTCAGTAGATATATTCTGTTTTGACAAAATAAAATCTCTGTAATTAGAATGTGCAATCTTCTAAGAGGGAAAATTACTGTAATTATTTTTTTATCAATTTTGAAAACAGTATCAATTTTATCAAATCAAGAGAAAAGAGTCTACTAAATGTTAAGTTAAGAGGAAGGGTTTTGGAATCTTGAAGAATCTAAACTGCTCCCAAAACAGAGACGCGTGATATGTACATGGTTGACATATCATTACCTACCCTTAATAAGTAAAAATCCTTGAGTTGACCTTGACTCTTGGGGACTACATAGACTTGCAATATTATGGAAACACATTTTACCAAAATCCCTTCTCAGTGGTACGTTGTAACTTGCATCTCATAACTTGGCATGCACATTTGAGAGTCTGAGAGACAATGATTGTTGTGTCTTCTGAGGCTGAAGTGGGAGAGGTAAATTGCTGGAAGTAGAAAACATCTGCATATGATAGAAAAATAATGTTCGGTATAGATGAAGTCAACATTTCACTTTTCAGGCCCTACAGTGAACAGGGAAAGAAAGGAGAGGAGACATGAATAGAACATCATGTAATATTTATTATTGTATGTCTTTTATATTGAAATAAGATTAACATAAAAATTAATGTAGAATGTGTCATATACATCGTATTTTAATGTAAAACACGCACACAAAAAGATTATGAAGTCTGTAACTTAAATCAGATTTTTATTGGAATGTTTTATAAGATGTTTCTTTAGCCAATCCGATTCCTGGGAATATACATGTATATTTTTAAAAATATGTATATATATATATATTTAAAAATCATTAACGTAGTATTCATATGAAAGCTTCATAAAGTTGTATCACATGCAAAATATTTTCAAATGACTTAAATATATATTATGTGTTATAGTTTGAGTTTCCGCCTGTTGGAAAATTGCTGTTAGCAAGGAATAATAGAACAATTACCAATAGAAACACATGCTATCCAATGGTACAATTACAAAGGTGATGGTTGCCAATGTACATGACTTGGAAAGTGATATGGCACATATCTTTCAATCATTGTTAGTGAAAGAACATTTCATTTAAGGAAATATGTTAAACAAAACAATAGCCAGTAATGTAAACATAATGGTACCGAACTTGAACAATTGTATCCTGGAAATGTGTTCACACAAGGTTCCTTGGTTATTTTTACTAGTGGATTGCTCATTATGCCTCACCTTTGTTTCTGAAGAAAATGTATTTGTTCTATAACAGTAAGAAACAATATTGATGTGTTTCAATAATTATGAAAAATTATTAATTAAATCAGTCAAGATAGAAAAGAATCTCAACAACAGATCCTTTTTTAAAAAACAAATAAAAAGGTACATACAGTAAAAATCATGAAGGCAATTCAACGAAGTTTATATTCTTGGGTTTTTTCCAAAGCATGTAGCGTAAGCATAAGTTCAACCTTGAATATCTGGAAACAACCATTTAATTTTAGAAAATCAGGAATGGTGGAATGGAATAGCAAGATCTAGTATTTGGATAAAAGGGCATTTATTAAAAACTTTATGCATATAAAAATATTGAATTGGCTGTAAGAAAGTAAGAATAAGAAACTGGCTGTAAAAGATTAGTAAGTATATCTGCTGTTCCACCTGCCTGAACCAATTCAGAAAAACCAGACTGACTTTTCATTTCCCTGAATATTGAAATGTTTTTATGATTAAAACTAGTTTAACATCTTTACAAGACTCTTAAAGTACTTTTTTCTATTCCTTATTATTTTCTTTCCTGGGAAAAACCAATTTGTTATATTCTTTTTTCTAGATCCTCTCCATCATCCATGGTTTGGAAGACACTGCCTGCAAACACTGCCAAGTGTACCTAATTCCTGCTTCTTGCTCTCTGAATAACTCCTCTAAATTTGTGCTGGGTTCCATGGTGCATTTTTATGATGTAAAATGCATCATGAGGTGTTCTTCACTTGGATAAATTGCAACACCTCTGTGTTTGTCAAAAGAGACATGCACAGCCCTAAGGTGGATACATCTGGTTTGATCAACTGAAGAAAGCAACCTGGACTTCTTCTCAAAGGTAAGATCAGCTGTGACAACTGACAAACTGTGAAAATAAATTTCACAGTCATGATTTCAAATCAATGGTTGGGTAAGACTAAATCATATTAGTTAAAGAATCTTCATGTTTCTTAAAATCCTGTTGTCTGGCCATTTTTAACATGTTTTCTGTGGCCCAATAGTTAAGACAATATTTTTTTGATGAATTAATTTCATTGTTAAGCATTGATCAATTTTTACATTTATGAAACTCTGGGCCTGTTTAATTTCCGAAATTGTATATTGCAAGACTTCACTTTGAGTTCAGATATGTAACTAATGCTAACTTTTATTTTGTTTTTTTAATTCCTTATAATATTGAATTGCTGGTTTTGCTTCAAGTACTCCATCTCTTAAGGAGATCTCTTAAAATTGCAGGCACCACTTAGACTGCTAAAGCATCTGAACTTATACTGCTTCTTCAATCTGTCTGAATGGTTTTCAGTTCTCTTTCCCTTAAGCTTTCAAAGAGTTACAGATCAGTGGTGGGTTTCAATTTTTTTTACTACCAGTTCTGTGGGTGTGCCTTGGTGGGCATGGCATGGGAAGGATACTGTAAAATCTCCATTCCCTCCCCAATCCAGGGGAAGGTTACTGCAAAATCCCCATTTCCTCCAGATCAGCTGGGACTTGGGAGACAGAGAGTAGATGGGGGCGGGACCAGTCAGAATTTTTACTACCGGTTCTCCGAACTACTCAAAATTTCCACTACCGGTTCTTCAGAACTGGTCAGAACCTGTTGAAACCCACCTCTGTTACAGATGTTGTATTATGCATGCCCCCATGAATAGAGTTTGCATGACTTCCACCACCACCTGTATTAAGAGAAAGAAATCTCTCTTACGTTAATACAGTTTATATCCTATGTAGTACTTTCAGTTAACATTGATTTCCAGGAGACTGTGTGGCCAGTTTTGTCCTATTGAGGATTCATCAGAGACGGTACTGAGATATGGTTCTAGGGCCACGATGGTGAACCTATAGCACATGTGCCAAAGGTGGCACACAGTGCCTTCTCTGATCCCACACGAGCCATTGCCCCAGTTCAGCTCCACTGTGTATGTTTGTTTATTGAATTTGTTTATTGAATTGTGCGCATACCTCCCACCGGCCAGCTGGTCTTTGGGCCTCTGCCATGCATGCACGGGGTGGGGTGCATGTGGGGGGGCTACATGTGCATGTGTGGGTGTAGGGCACATGCAGGGGCTGCATGCACATGTACAGGGGGTGGGGCGTGTGTGGGGGCACGAGCACAGGGGGCAGGCAGGGGGTCGTGCATGTATTTTGGGGGTTCAGGTGCACACATGTGCATTCGTGCGTACACACTTTGGCCATTCAGTCCAGAAAAGGTTAGCCATCACTGTTCTAGGGGGTTCAAATTTTCTACCATGAATTGAACACACATTCCTTTGCATTTTAGTCTAGACATGGGGCATTAATGTAAGGAGCTATCAATCTAGTCCAGAGAGTTGCAGAATTTGGGATTCGTTTGAATGGTCTATACAGCCACCTCCCCTAGTGGAAAGGCAAATCTGAGACATCTTTTCCATTTCAACTATTTCCCAAGAAAGTAATTATCTGCTGTTCGGTTACAGATGCCTCCAATTTGTAAAACTGTTTATAAACATTGTAAAACTGGTAATTAGTAGAGCCTTGTCTTAGTACATAACTGACTCTCATTGACCTGAATTTAAGCTATAAACATGTTGTTTTTGTTGCTGCAAACAATAAACAAACTTTCCAGCTTTCTTTCCTGATTCCCAAAAGTTTTGATTTATGTATTTCAAAGAATGTTAAAATTGTTCTAAATGTAGTAGCTACATTTTAACTTTAGCTACTATAAATATTTGGCACGAATCATATGTGGGGTAGTAAGCTTCCTCCCCCCATCTATATAAAATTAAAATCTCCTTTTATCTTTTTCTTTTTTTTTTACTGAGTTGATAGCAAGAGTAGATTTGTGAATGCTTCAAATGTATCCCAGAGATTTCATATTGTAGGAACAAATTTCCTGGCAGGATTACCTCTTGTTCTTGAAATGTAAGCATGTAATATCTCAAGTTTAAAAACAGCTGGCAATAAAAAGATTTCTTGAATACCTTCTTCCTTGTAAATTAGCAAAGGCTTTTGTTCCTCTGCATCTAGAGTTAATTTGATTATTTTTAAGTTGTTTCTGGTAATATGCCTGTACAGTTTAAATAGTTGAGTTTGCAGGCTTATTATGAGTTCATCATGAACTTGCTCTTTTTTTCCCTAAGGTCCTAATTGTCATTTCATGAGAAAAAAGTAATAATTCTCTTCCATGGTTACAAATCGTTATTAAATTGAAGAGCTTGAGATCTCATAATTTTAAGATTGCCATGGATCCCAGATAAGCCATTTTCAGAACTTTTCAATTTATTTTCCATCTGTTTAGAGACTCATTGAAGATTCACTATTCATTCAGAGCACATTATTTCTTGTTGCTGGAATAAGAGTATATCAGTATTCAATGTAGCTCTAATTTGGCAGACAAAGGAATCATTCTAGACCAGTGGTGTCAAACTCACATCGTCACGGCGTCGTCACATGACGTATCAGGACTTTTTCCCCCTTCGCTAAACCAGGCGTGGCCATAGCCAGCATTTGGCCCACAGGCCTGGAGTTTGACAGCCCTGTTCTAGACTATTGTAGGGGTTGGAAGGCACAATTGCTCACTTGTGTAGTACGGCAAGATTTGGGGATATAGCATCATATCCCAATATATAATTATACATGCCAGGTGTATATGTGAACCATAGGCTGTACAGAATATTCCAACAGTGTCTTCACCCAGTATATGAATCTGGTAAAATAAAAGGAATTGAGGTTTGTTGGTTGATTGCTAAGACTTAGAAGGTTTATACATTTACTGTATAAACTCCAGAGGCTCTTAGCAGTATATGGAATCAAACCATGATATAAGGCATATAATTTAAAAATATAAAATTGTGACCCCTAATAAACAAAAAGATGTGGATTTCCTGTAGCTGGTTAATCACAAAGGCCTTCCTAAAAATCCAAATTAGCCTATTCCTGGAGTTGAGGGACATTATTTGTTCAAGGTGTAATTCTTTCAAAAGATGAAACAATTGTCTCTCTGTCCATTTTCATGCCTTTGCCTATTATGTCTTGGGCTGTTGCTAGGGAACCTTCAACAGATATTCCCCATCTACTCAGATCTGCTGAATAGAATTTACTTGGGTCATTTTTACAATACTCAGGCTCCAAGCCATATAATTTATTCAATGGGTATGTGGCAGAGTGAAATGCTCTGAAGTCTGCTACCAGTTCACTTCGTACACATGTGCCCCTCAGGCACTAAGAAGCCTTTTCTGAATCTGCAAAAGTAAGTAGAACAGCTGTGCCACGCAATTTAGATTTGCTAGAAAGCAGGATTTCCTGCTTTCTAGCGAATATAAATTATGCGGCACAGCTGATTGTCACACAGCTGATTGTCAGAATTTTTAAAAAACTTTTTTAGCATTTTTTTTACTACTGGTTCTGGCAAACCGGTAGTAAAAAAAAATGCTTAAAAAGTAAAAAAAAAAAAGTTCCGTCAATCAGTGTGACAATCAGCTGTGCTGTGTGATCATCAGAACTTTTTTTTTAACTTTTAAGCATTTTAAGCATTTTTTTACTACCGGTTTCGGCGAACTGGCCTGAACCAGTAGCATTTCACCCCTGAGTTAAACTCACAAAGAATTCTATCTTCTTTATTGGCATCCATAGATTTCCAGTGTTCCAGTATAACATCTCAAGACAAAGTTGCCTTGAACTGTGAGATGGGTGGCAAATAAATTTCTTAAATAAATTAATCATTTTTGTCACTGCAATGGATTTTGTCCATACAGTTTCCCGACGTAGGTGAATATGAGACATTTTACTCATAAAATGTTTGATCAGACAAGCACAACAGACAATTACTTTCTAGTCCTGTCCTTCCATCTAATTATCTGAGATACTATTAATAGAGCCCACACTATTGGTTTTCTGTAATTTATTATAGGCTAAATTATTTTGGTAAGACTTTGGTGATATGAGTTTATGCCATTCATTATTGATTAGAGGATTTTTAGTGCGTACTTAGGTTTGTTTTATTGCTTGCTATTTTACTTCTATATTGTGGAAATTTCATTATTTTTTTATGAATGTACATAAACCCTAAAATTATCTTTTGATTGTGATGGATATAAGTCAAACAAATAGATGCTTAAAATAGAATAAGAGTTGGAAGGGACCTTGGAGGTCTTCTACTCCAACCTCCTTGTTCAGGCAGGAAACCCTATACCATTTCAGACAAATGGTTGTCCAATCTCTTCTTAAAAACTTCCAGTGTTGAAATAGTCACAACTTCTGGAGGCAAAGCATTCCACTGATTAATTGTTCCAACTGTCAGAAAATTTCTTCTTACTTCTAGGTTGTTTCTCTCCTTGTTTAGTTTCCATTCATTGCTTCTTATCCTGCCTTCAGGTGCTTTGGAGAATAGCTTGACTCCCTTCAGAAAGCTGTTGGGGACAGGGAGGCTCTTGATGAGCACAAAGTACTCATCACTAAGTAGTAAGTGAAAATAAAGTAGAAACTTTGGAAAAAATAAAGTAGGTGTCATACATTGACAACACATTTTCAGTCACTTGTTAAAATGAATTATGTATTAATAGGAGGAGGAAGATATGGTTGATATGTTTACCATCTTGTGTTATTTGTAAAAGTAATAAAGAAGGAATACAAATAAATAAAACTTCATTTACCCATAAAAACAAGGGTGGTGTATATAATTGAAAATAATATATATTATTCAGACAATTAACATTTATTGCTAAATTTTTACTTATTTTTTTTTTCATTGCCATGGAGCTAGAAGTTGCTGTATTCTCAAGAATGTAGCATGTTTTAGTTTTTGCTTATGTAGGAGAGAGTAGGAAGACAAAAAAGCAATATTAAAAATAGAAGAAAATATTA